GATTCCCGAGCTGCCGAGGATTACAGAGTACTAGCAATCCTGTAAGAGAGCGCGCTCACAGACATCTGCCTTCCTTTTTTAATCAAATAGCTCTGGAGAAATGCAGGACGACACACATGCATGGCCACCTGTCTGGACTGAAACAGTCTCTATGACTTTTATAGCCTGATTCTTGCCATGCTGAGGACTTCTTTCCTGCTGCCCTTTAAAGGGCTCTCAATGACTTCACATGTGCGTTTCTATCTGCTCCACGATCCCACTGCATACACCAAGCAAGGCCTTGGTGTAAATGGGAACCTGACCATTTGAATCAGCCAACAGCTGGTCTATCCACCACAAACTAAATTCCTTCACTATTTTTGGAACCAAGACAGAGGCATCTGCACTGGTGCAAGGTTCACTGCTGCGGCACAGGCTTTCATCCTACACATTCATTCTCAGACCAGATGAATTCAAAGGGAAAGCTAACAACTCCTATTCTCTCCAGAATTCCAAGAACACTGATACATTTTTTTCAGTACTGCATGGACTACTGTTCCTCCCTGGAGGCCTCCTGAATGCAATACCACCTACTTTGCTAAGCAGAAATGACTTCTTCCACTCTGCAGTTTCCAATCTGATTAATCCACTTGATGGCAGCTCCAGCATTTGGCCCTCCAAGCTCTTTATAGAGGTTTTCTGAGGACCTGGAGCACCTTTCCTGTGCTTTCCAATCTCAGCAATCTATCCTGGGTAATGAAATTATGTCTAAGCCATGGTTGCTCGCAAACAGACGTATAAAGCAGCCCCTCCAAATGCACCAGTTCAAAACGACCTATAAACGCAACATGCAATCATTTATCAACAGAGATAAGATGGCAAAAAGCACGCTTTCTAATTCTGCCCTGATGAAAAAGATGTGCAAGTTACGTGACACACTAAAATCATCAGCTGTAGGGAAACAACCGAAAGATTCAATTAAGATGATTGGCAAGGTTGCCCTCGGGAGTGTTGCCAACTGCATTTGCATGCAGCAGACCTGGAGGGAAAGGAGACATTCCCCCTTTGCACAGGAAAAGGATTTTGGCCTCCAAAGGACTGAGGCAGAGTACAGAGAATAGAGCCATCACCAAACCTCTGGCAGATCCTGTGTGATGCTCAGTGCAGTCCTCACCAGCTCACTCAGTCCTGTGGCTCTTACACAGCATGGGCAGGGATAGGATATGTTATTTTTCTCCTATTAATACCCTTGAGGCAAAGTACTAAAGCCCTAAATCTTGTGACTGAGCCTCTCTCACATCAGTGCAAGGATTTAACTGAAAGCTCGCTGAGGTGAATGGAAAGACAGATTTTGTCTTCATCAATCTTCAGCTCCTCCATGCAGTTCCTAGTCTGGCATTTCCCCATCACCACATTCATATGGACAGGAGGAGAGTGGATAGTTGGATTTTGTTTTTAAGTCTCCTGCTCCGTGATTCTGCTTCTCTCAGTTTGCTCATACCACAATAATCTCATCAGCTCTTACTAAGATGCTCATCTGATTTATAGCAGCATAACTGGGGACAGAATCTAGTCAAGCTAATCAGAATCAATGTGATACTCCAGAGTGAAAATCACAAGGGAGATGTAGATTAAAGACACTGGCAATTAACTCAGACCTCCTCACTGTTCCTAGGGAGACAGAAAGTTTACGTTCTTTTTTTTCCTGGGGTCACATGAAAGGTCTCTGCAGAACAATTTCTTTTATTATCCCAAGGAGTTTTCACCATAAAAATCCCTGTCCTTGTGCTCTGCCAACATTTTTTGCAAGTTCTTGGCTGTAATCCATTGAAGAGCAGGTTATTTTTTGCTTTAGTGTCAGTTAAGAAAAAGGAAAAAAAATAATAAATAATAACTATCCAGGGAAGGGAAAAAATCACACCAAAACACCCAAACTTCAACCTAGGCTCCTCCAATTAGCAAAGCCAAACACTGATCTCTTTTCTGTATATTAGAAAGCACCCATGGCCACTGCCACATGGACTGCTGCAGACAAACCAACCTCGAGGTGCCACCCATCAGTTGAAGGAAGCCAGGAAGATTGTTGTGATTCTAAGAACTGAAGGTGCAGCATACAGAACTCCAAGCTAGCCCAGAGCCCCGACCTTTCTTATGGTAGAATTTCACTTCTCTGATTACACGAGCCAGCTTCACATGTAGAAACAGCCTCTTTAAGCACAGGAACCAAAATCAGCACATTGCACTTTTATCAACCCCCATCAAACACCCTGGGTTGATTTCAGAATTGCAGGTGCTTGTTCACCTCAGCACCCGACTGGAGCAGGAGGTGACAGATAGAGAAACCCAAGTGTTTCCAAACCATTGGAAGTGTTCATCTTCATTCATATAAACAATTTGCACTTAGCCTTTTTTTTTCTTCCTTTTTTGGCCTAAACAAGGTCCTTTGGGGACAAGATGGTCATTAGCCGCAGCAAAATCAATTATGCTAAACTGAACAGCAACTGAGTGCTGTCATGATTATTCCATTTTGTTGGTTTTGTATTTTACTTTTATCTCATTTCCCTGGCTAGGCAGCAATGCTTTCGTCTACAAACCTCATCGAGACAAGATACAACAACATAAACTCTGAAAGCTATTAATTACTGTGATGCTCTCAGTAAGTTTTATAAGGCCTCCAGCATTCATCTCAGAAAGCCTCTTATCTATACGCTTTGTCCTCTCTGGAGCATCAATTTGGCTAGCAAGCACTGGCCAGTGAATAATGGAGTATTCCTCTTCTGGAGGCAGTGTGCTTGGCAGCTAATCAAATTACTATTTTTGAAGTCAATTTCATAATTTTAATTATTTCCCCATGACACATGTTGTTAAGTAACCTGTGTGGTCAGAAAAACAGATTTTATTGTATTCTGAGTAATGTCCTTTGAACAGCTGCTTCTCCTTTCACTTTGAGGACTTGCTCACTTTGCAAAGAAAGTTTAAGCAGTTCCTGTATAAACTGGGAGTCTTGCAAAGCATGCATCTGCTCCGAAAAGCTGCAAAACAGAAAATAAAAGGAAACAGTGCAACCTTGCATTTATCTTGGATTAATGACAACCTCTCAAGTTTGTTCCATGGAAGCGTGATCCCTGGCCAACACTACCAAATCAGAATGGATCCCAAAAAGCAGAACACAGCCAGAGTGCAATAAAGTTGGACAGGTCATGATGTTATTGGAGGCTCTGAACAACATGAAACTGAACGTAAGAGCTTAAAATGGCATCAAACCTCAGCAACTTCTGCTGCACAATAAAGGTCTGTTGCTGTCTCCCCATTTAGTGCTAAATAATGCAAGATCCTCAGCGAAAACATCCCTGATTTCAGATGACTGCTGCTTGTAACAAATCACATCTCAGTCCATATTCATGAGGTTTGATTTACTGGCATAATTATCCTGTCTTCATTGTTTGTGTAAAGTATCTTATGCACAGGGAATGTACTTAACTGCTTAACTTCAGCAATAATGAGTCCATTATCATATAGACCCATAAATCAGAGTTTCATAGCAAAGATGAAAGATGAAGCACCTGCAATGAGAAGAGAGCCTACGCCAGACTGAGAGCCTTGCTGAAAGCTGTGTGCACAACAGAGCTCCTCCAGACACCACTGGGACCTGTAGCAGTTTGGGGTACTGAGCCCAACACAGCAAGGATTTTTGTTATCGCTAACATTACTCCAGAGATCCATAGCTTGCTGCAGGAACCCCTCTTTCTGCCATAAATACCAAAATCTGTCATTTTTGAGGTAGGATGAAACCCTTCCAAAGCTACAGAGTTCATAGCAGGTTTCTGTCTAACCCTGGATCCTTCTAATACCTCCCACGTGTTGGTGGGCCTGGTCCTGGAATCAGGATGGCTCTGGCTTGTGCTACATGGGACAATTCCTCCTAACCTTCAAAATTAAAGGTTTTCCAAAAGCAGCTAGTCCTCGTGGAAGCGCATTCTGAGATGCTTTAAAGGGGCTGGATATCTTTAGATTGGGTATTCAGCATGAAAGCTCTTCAAATGCAGCAAACAACGTTTAGTGTGCTGGCCAAATTAAGAAACAACAACACAGCACCAACAAAACTCAAACCCTGTAATTTAGATGATGGCCAAAACTTCTCTCCAAACTCAGCACAGATGAGCAATGCTGACACACAGCTCCCGTATAATGACACACATCTCTAGTTTAAAGAATGAAACGTCTGACCAAGAAAAGTCCCTTTTCGGACAAGAAAATTATCTATACAACAAACTCTGAAAACAAGGGCACCCAAAGTGACAGCTGCTTCTGAAAAGCATGGCCCACAGGACTGTGTGTTGCATACATACATAGAATTGCAGTTGGAAGCCTCAGGCTATTTCCACTTCCTTCTGTTCCATAAAAAAGCTATAGAAGCGTACCATGGTTTGGGTGGGCAGGGACCCACATTTAGCAGATCACAGCAAGGAAGAGTAGTTTACAGAGAAATGGGAGAAAAGGACCTTCCTCCTTCCAAACCTGGAATCCCATGATGTGAACCTCCCCAGCTGACCCATGAGCAAGGTAGGCATCGTGGTGGCAGCAGTCAGGAGCACAGAGACAAAGCAAGCTCCCCATCAGCACATGGAGCAGGATCCAAGTGAATCAATCGGGATTCGATTGAGATAGCTTGCACAAGTTCCAAGGAGCTTTTTTTTTTTTTTTCTCTGGAGCACAGGAAAGAAAACTTCACACGCAGACAAAAGGACCATGTCAGTAAGTGGCCAGCAGCAGGTGGCTGTCACTGCCAGCTGTCTCACTGCGCAGGCAGCCTGCTGTTATCTCCAGAGTACAGCATCCACAGAAGGACAAATGAAGGAGGAAGTGGGTGGCATCCATTCCCCCAACTTCCCATCCCAAACTTTTCTTCTTGAGCAGGTCAGCACACCTGCTGTGACACTCTCCTAGCTTCAGCAAACCAGGTGCAATGAGTTATCCACCTAAGCACACAATCAAGACAACTCCTCAACCTCTTGCTGCTGCTGACAGTTCCTTTAATGCTGCTCTATTTCCAGACATCTTTGAGAAGGTGATTCAGCTTTTTCTTTCTTGGGCATTCTCATCATGTCGTGCGCCTGCTGGGCTGTCTTCAGCTCTCATGAGCACAACCAGGTTTTTCTTTCTTCCTTCTGACAGCAGTAAGGGAGATGCTGAATGCAAAGCAGTCTCCTCTGAGAATTCCCTCGCTAGGGCCTTCTGATGATGGGCCAGAGATGTGTTACCTGTAGGACTTGATTAACTTGTTAACAGAGATGTCTTCTTACAGCAAAGCCTCGCAGAAGCAATATGCACTCTGAAGCCAGGAAGAGAGTCACGAATCCGAGAGCTGCATCCAGATAGGAATTTCAAGAGGATCTTCTAAGGAAGCCCGTTGGAAAATGCAGGTATTTCTGGAATGCACCGTATTAAGAAGAAGCCATGGAAAGGGAAAATCAGCTCTCACCAGAAGCTAACTCCTCAAGTTGCCAAAAAAATATTCTCCTGTGTTGGATGAACGTTACCTTAAAACTTGCTCTCAAAATTCAGTCCTTGCACCTACATCCTGGAAGGAGGCAGAGAGGAAGTTTGTTCGCTTGATCTGTCCTTGCTTCCACCCCACTGATGGTTATTGCTCCTTCAGCTTTGCCTCCCAATGTAAAGTGCTATTATAGGTCTTTGCTCTTCTGCAGGTCAGACCTGAAGTCATCTACACAACGGTGCTATGATTTACAAAGCAGCCTAAATCAGCTTTATTCTTCCCAAACTGTGCATCTCAGCAACCATCCAACACCCTTGTATTGTATACATAATGGGGTTTCTGCATTCAGGCCTGGCTGCACTAGGTTGACAGCTATGAACATGGCAGCTTTTTGGTTCTTCCACTGAGACTGTCAGTGATTCAAATTAAATTGGACTTTGGTTAGGTGAGTAATTCATCATTTGCAGTGTGACAATACCTGTAATTATTGCTCTTACTGTTATGGCTGAAACTCATATGCAGTAAAGGGATCTTAATATCATGCCAAACCTCACAGTTAATTTAGGTTCTATCTCCTTTCATTTATTCTCTAATAAGCTAATTAGTTCATATAATTTGCCATTGAACGTGCCTTTGTAACAAATATATACATGAATTAGTCTATTACACAACAAATGAGGGGAATCAAAACATGAATCACTTTCAGGATTACATAAGGAATTATTATCCTTGCAAACACCCATGGATGCAGCTACTGTTCTCATTACTCTCAGATTTTGCCTGAACTGGGTTGGCTTTCCTGTTTGATGCTTCTCACTCTTCTGCTTAGGTCAGCAATGTGTTTCCCTGTTTGGTGTGCCCCACTGTATGTCCCCCATCTGTATGCCAGGTTATCTGCAAGTTTAAGACCCCTACTATGAAGCTAAACGTCTTTCAGCTTAGCTGCTAAAATCCAAACTCTGGCAGCTGAGAAAGCTCAGCCATGCCGCTAGCTTTGTGCACTGGTATCCCATCCACAAGGAGCAGAGAAATCCAGATTCCCTGTCAAAGTCTGCTTTTGGTTTTGTTTGTTTGCAGACTGCACAGTATCAGACTGCCCTTGAAAACTCATGGGCACAACTTGCAGTCACCGTATTCAGAAGATTCCTTCCCTATTTCACCTGTGGGGCTCATTTCACCAATCTGCCTCCTGACAGCTCTTAAACCGTGCTAGATTTCAAACTCATTTGGGATAAATCATGAGGGATGCTTTATCCAGCTGAGTCTTAAGATTGCCATTATGCAAACGGGAGGCTCGCCAGCCCTTGAGGTTCAGTCCTCTGTCATAACCCTTGCAAAGTACCACGTATTCATTATTCCCCAGAAGGGCTCAGGACAATTGGATCTGTCTCATTCAGAGCACAGCAGAGTGCTTTCTGCCCAGTAATTCAATAGCATCTCGCAGGGAAGCTCCCAGGCTACGAAAGCCGTCAGTTCTACTTTCTGCACTCCTTCCTCTGAGGCCTCATCTAACTGCTGACCTGGTGCTTCCCAGCCTCAATATTAAACGTAATGAGAGCACAACTCAACAGCTTTACTTCTTAAATGTTCTCTGCTTATAGCAATTGTTTTGATTTAGCATCCAACCTCTTGCAGTAATGATTTAGTCTTTCCACACCCAAGCTAAGCAACCACCTTACTCCCAACAGCTGCTACTTTACCTGGAGTTATATTGTTTTCATTTTCTATTCTGAAAACTCAGAGAGGACAAGGGAATAAAGATGCAAGAGCCTTGTTTGTCTGGAAACACTCTTTAGCATTTGGATGGCCTAAGTGGCATTAAATTCATCCATAAACCTGTTGGCATGGGTTAAAGTGATCTATAGCTACAAAATCCAACTTTGCCAGACCCTCTGCTCTTTCCAAAGACCCCAGCTGAAATCTTTGCGGATTAAACCTGCACATCTGCAGGCCATGCATGCTGGAGAAATGGAATACCAAAGTGAAACGAAGGCTTGCTGCCTGCAAATCTGCTCGGGAAGCACAAAGGAAGCAGGAGCCCTGGAGAAGCACCTGCTCAATTTCAGTGCACTTGCACAGGCAGTCTGAACACACTGGCCTCTGCCTTTTCTCTAGAAAGGACACTGCTGTCCTGTGGTGGGAGCCAGAAAGGACCTTCTGGACACATCATCATCTGTGTGAGAGCAGAAGGAGAAAGCAAGTGCAGCCAAAGACCCACCTAAGACTCATGCTTTGATTTCCCTCTTCCCTTCATGTAGCACTCACTACCAGCTGGGATTCTCTTGTGACATATTAATTCCAGGAGAGAACCCAAGCATCTTTAAAAACAGCATAACAGAGGCATGAGGTCTGTCTGAGCCCTTCTGGGTTTGGTTTTGAGCCCCTGACACCAGCAATGGTGCAATTTGAGGTTTGCTGCTGTGAGAGCAAACAAGATGCTCAGAGCAAGCAAACGCCTCTTCACAGCTCTCAGATAAAATGACAAGTTATTACGTTCATATTATAATATGAAACCAGAAGGAAATTCAGGAGTGGAATTTAGAGAGGTGAATGAGCAATTACTTGTCATTAAGAAAACTGAAAGGAGATTGTCTCTCTTTTAGGAAGACGTCACCTGCTCTTCAGGAAGACCAAACAAAATAGGACGTGTAGCTGAAAGCACAAAGAAATCGGAATCAAAAACAAACTGCAAAATAAAGACTGAAAACTACGCACACCTCATTTCAAATCCACCAGCCCTACGAGAGCACAGCCTTGGGACTGGGCAGATGAGCTCTGCAGTGATCCAGAGCTACAAATGCACTGAAAATGCTCTGGTTACTGAAGTATGCCTTATCATTTGCCACCCGTGAAATCTTCCCCAGCCTGAGTCAGGAGCACTGTGGTCTTCATTGCAGAGCTGTACAAAAGTGGATCAAGTCAGACTCCAGCCCCACATGGTTAGACATCCCTTCCCAGGAACTCTAGCCAGAATAGTCTGTTTGGGTTATTTACTCCTCCCCACAGCATACCATGCTAACCAGTACGATCTTGTAACTCTTGATTCAGACCCAATTTTTGCCATCATGCTAGCTGCTACATTTCAGAACAATATTATATCTTGCTTAAGGATGTGGACATTTTTTTCCATTTCCTGATACTGCAGCAATAAATAAGGACCCCAACTCTCAGAGATTTCCTTGTTAGGATTTATCCAGGTCTAATCTGCAGTGCCAAAACTTGCCAGACTTTTGTCTGCCTGAACCATTTCCCCCCTCTTCCAGAACACTGAAAAGTGGCCATTCCCCTATTCTCTCTGAGTGCTCTGTTGAAGCATTGGTGCACAATGTTTGATTCATTTACTCTACGTGTCATTATGTGCAGCTTCATGCAGGTGGCAAGCAAATTCCTTTCTCCACTGAGGTATTGATCAAAATCCTCCCAAGCAGAGGATGACAAAACAAAGACATAGGAAACCTTTAGAGAATCATACCTGAAATATAGCTATCCAGGCATAGCCAATATTATCAAAATTGATAGCTCCATTGTGTGGGTTTACATCCCCTGCCATGCATACGTTGTAATATTGGTTCCAGTTTATGCAGGCATTCTTGCTGCTGGAGTCAGGGTTGTATAAACTTGGGGTGTAGGAGTCCATGCTCAAGGTGCACTCCACCTTGTACTCCTTCCTGGTTGGGATGTTGGAGCATTTCTGCATGCCGTTCTCACGATGGGATGAGCAGATGAATGGATTCTCCTCTGCTTCGTCTGTGCGGTAGTACGGATGCAGGAAGGTAAGGTTGTATGTCCTGGAGGGGAAGAAGGAAAGATGGATGAGAACAGGCTGCCCAGGGAGGTGGTGGTGCCCCATCCCTGCACACACCCACGGTCAGGCTGTGTGGGGCTCTGAGCACTGATGGAGCTGTGGGTGTCCCTGCTCAGCACAGGGAGTGGGACCAGATGGCCTTCAGAGGTCCTTTCCAACTCAAACCATTCTGTGAAATGCTGCTATCCACAGAACATCAACAAATCTTCCTGCAGCTCCACAAGACAGCTGCCATCACACAGTCACCCCCCATTACCATTTTTCTCTGTGCAGTGTCCCCTCCACGGCTGTGCCCCTGGAGTCAGGAGCACCAATGCCCATCATGCAGTGCAGATCCAGCACCTGCTCCTCAGTATATAGAGCAACCAAAGAGAAGCAAGACTAATGAAAACTGCCAGAAACATCACTTATGCGGCCTCTTTCCATGGCCAAAAGTAAGACTATGAGTCTGGATCATACCTTATCAGTAGGAGGACAAGATCTCAGCAACTGTACCGCTCTGAAGTGCCTCCCTTCTGCCTGCAAAATCCCAAAGCCCTGCAACTTGATGCCAATTCCTCCCATTTCCACCTCATCAGACAGGGGACAGGAAGCCACAGCAGAGACATCAGCCCCAGCCACTGCCTGTAAGGCTGATGATGCTTACATCATCGTGTAAGGCTCCAGTGATCTTTCAGTTAAATATCAGCCTGAGTTTTCCAAGTGAGCAAATGAGGCAAGACGGCTGACAGCTGAAATGAAGTGGTAAAAAGAGAGGAAAAAAGCAGCCCAAGTACTTCCTACAAGCCAGGGCAGGTAACTTTTTGTTCCCAACTAAGGATTTTAAGAGAGCTCTTCTGATGCTCAGATCATGCTTCAGATGACCCGAAGGCAAAGCAGCTTTCCAAGAAATTTCCCCCTCAGCACGTCTCCAGGATGAATGAGCTGAACTTTAATAAGGAAAGAGGCAGCTACGGGCATCTCAAATTCCTTCTGTTCTTGCAGAAGGAAAGAGCCCACATTAATGGGAACTGAATGCTGATTTAATTGGCCTGGATAAAGTTATAAAGCTCTGTTAGAGAAAAGATAAGCAAGTGCTCTAATTGCAGCATGGCAGGGATGTGCCTTTTCCAAGCGGTGCTCTGAATGCAGGCCTCTCCATGGCAATGGACGAGCATTTGTGGGGCACATCAGCACTCGCTGCTGAAGCACTGCTCAAAGCAAGAAGGTGAGAAGACCTCCAGCAGCAGATCTGCTGTTCAGAGCGGTGGGGATCTAAGGTGCTCTACAATCAAGAAGAAGATAAGGGAAAAAGCAACACAAATTACATGACCAAGCGAGATGTGGGTAGCAGACAAGCAGGTAATTCTTCAAGACAGGACAGCTGTATTTTTTTTCAATCCGCTCTGAATGTTCCCAACGATTGAATAAATGTGGCTGTAATGATTGCTGAGCAAGTGATACTCTGTATGATGGTCTGAAATTGCTCCCCATAACCCCTGAGTGAAGTCACTGAGCAACTGCGCTTTAGGAGAGAGCAATTGCTGCAGGGCAGAGCCAAGGGGAAATAAGCCCTGAACAACTTTCCTGAACAACCTTTTCCTCCATCAATGAACTATCTGAGATGGGTGCTGAGATTCATCCAGCTGCAAGAAGAGCACGGTAGAAGAACTGGGCATTGTTGGCTGTGAATAACAACTCATTCAGCAGCTATTCACCTCCCATCACACAACACTCCCATTTCCCCCCAGACACAACTGTAAAATCTGCCTCCCCGTATCTTCGATTCGAGAGACAAGGAAGAAACACATGAAAAATGTTTTTTCTTCAGCCCTCTCCTTTCCGCCCACAGAACGGTTTCACTTGGAGGAAATTTCCATATAAAACAAGCAGA